GAAGAAGAAGAAGAAGTAGTAGTAGAAATGTAATTAAACTATTGAAATATTATTTTTTTGCGCATATTACTTAGAATTATTATATGTCAAGTATTATGAAAATATTCAAATAATTTAGGACCAAAATTAATATAAAAGAAAAAGGACAAAACACATTCAACTCTTCCGTTCGGTACGAGGTGGAACAATTTGGTTCAGTTCTCAGTACGATGTTTATGAAATCTTCAAAACAATATCTATTATTTTTTCGGTTTAGTATTCTCCGAGTCAGTTCTCGGCTCTACCAATTAGGACTGTTAGTGAATTGAACAAAATCTCATTTGAGTTTACTAGTGCTCAACAAGAGCACCTTCGTTTATTAATCGATTCGAGCTTGAACATAAGATTAGGCTTGTTTAATAGTCGAATGAATACGAGATCGTTCGTGAATGTTTGATATTGTTCAAAACAATAATTTTAAATAATTTTATTTTTGTATATACATGACATTTTTAATAAATAAATTTTCATTTTATTATTTAAAATTTCCGAGCTTAAACGAGTTCGAACGAATATATCTCCAGTTAACTAGAAAGAACTCAAACTTTGGCGAACATTAAATGAATGAGATTTATGACTTTTTGCTCGAAAAATAACCAAACAAACACGAATTGTGTTTATACATAATCTAACATGAGCTTGAAATGTTCCCGGTTAGTTCGGTTTGATTATAACACTAGTCTCAATCTTGCTTTTCGTATATCGTACGAGAAATTTACTAGTTAAATCATATAATTAACACTTAATTAATTTTATTTTTATAAATAATTATGAATTTGATTAAACAAATCTCAAATTTGGAATTTTTTTATTTGTTACAGAGCAAATATGCCATCCATCGTACTAATATATAACAATACATAAACAAAGTATATAGAAAATAAAAATAAGTTATTTACATTCATAATTATTATATATTATATATATAATTATTATATATGTAAAATATAATTTTTATATTATATAATATAATATATATAAATAACATAAGATTTATTATTACTTTTTACTTAATTAGTTTAAACGAAAAAACAATAAGCATAGAATACTAACATTAATACCTCTTCCAAAAATGAAAAATCAATGGCAACAGCAGGTTGTTCATTCTCGCTGCATACCCTATCTAAACCTTCCCCAAAATCAATTGCAACTTCCATCTCAATTTTTCGGCGCGCAACAAAAGTCATGGCGGTAAAATCTCACCCAATTCATCCATGTTTTTCAATTTGTGGCAGTTATCTTCTACGCAATACAAAAACTGGGAGAATCAGTTTTAGAGGAACGACAGGCACAGTCGAACCATTATTGGAGGAGCAATATACAGTTCAAAAGTAGAGGTATGAATCTATGTACAAACTTTCTTATGCTTGTGGGAAATTTATGGAATTTTAGTATTGGGTTGGATTTCTTTTATTCTTTGTACTCTTAGAATGTATGTTTCAGAATGTTCACTTGAAGCTTAAGAGTTATGATAATTTCACGTTTTTCCTTCTTTGGAGGTATTATATATGAATACCAATTTCTTCTGTGTGGCATAAGAGTCTCGGTTGTAGCTGGGTTTTTACCGAAAATTTGATAACCAACTGCAAGTCTGTTCGGTTTCTGTTTTATGTTTCGGTGTTACCCAAATGTTCGGTTCGGTTCAGTTACCCAACCGAAACCAGCCCTAATTGGGAGTACATAAATTATGTGTGCTTACACTTACTGTAAAAACTTTTCCTCATGTGATTTACTATGTTTTGTTAAATGTTATGATGAATATTTTGTGGATGTGTGAAATGACAATAACTTAAGTTTCTTTATAACCTTCATAAATTAATTGCAGTTGAAGATGTCAGGATATGAGTTGCAAAGGTTGAAACGTATAGCTGAAAATAAAAGAAGAATGGAAGAATTGGGAATTAAAAATCTTGCTTCTGAAGTAACTTGTTTAAGGAAGGATCGGAATCAGAGGGATATAAACAAACTGGTTTCTAAGAATGTTGTTTCAAAGGATATCCCTGATGAAGAGGAACATGGAGAGGACAAATTCAGTAAAGAGAAAGATGCGCAACATACGCAAAGATTGAGCTCTCGTTCAAAAAAGGTTATATTTTTTTCTATTTTAATAACCTTTGACACACATGTTCTATTAAATTAAGTAAATCTTATTAGTTTATTAATAGTGTAAATATGTTGTAGGTGATGGCAACAAGAGGAAGTTCTGTTAACGGGCTAGAGAAACCGCAATCGTCAATGGCGAGTTTGCTAAATATGCACTATCAAACTGTTGGAGCGCCAAAAAATTTGAGGAGAGATGAAGATGAACAAGAAATGAACTTAGTAGAACTAATACAACAACCAACCATCCGTGAGAAGGAGCCTTCTAAAAGGGTTGAACTTGGAGAAAGAGCAGACAAGCAACCAAAATGTCAGCAAAGAAAGACATCGATAGTTGAAAAGGAACAGGAAAAAGTTGTTCTTAGCAACACCTTTAGGAAGTCCGAGAGAAGCAAGATATTGGTGTCACCTGGTTCACTTGAAGCTTATGCTAGGATGAAAAAGAACTCAACAACGCAAAAAGAACCATCAACGAACATTGATTGTGTTTCAAGAAGGCGAGGTCGTTTGTTTGATGATGTAACTGGTTTGGGAGATAGTTTAGCTGAAGAAAATGAAACTTATGGAAGTTTACATGATTATGTTTCTGAAGAAACAGACAATATAGAACCTCAACAGATTCCAAATAATGCAGTGGGGATCACAAATGAATCACTTTCTATGCAAGAAGAACATAATCTACCAGGTAAGGGTGAAAACAATTTGTTTACTTGTCTGTTGAATTTATTATGTATTTCTCTATCTGCCATTTACTCATTTTTTGATGGGGTTGACATTTAAATTCATAAACTTATACTCTGGACATGAAAAATATATTATTTATGTATTTTAAATTGTACCATTTCAGTAAAGAAGCGAACAAGAGGGCCGAGTTTGTGCAAAGATATCCATGACCGCACTATAGACAATCGGTTGCCTATCATTTTGAATGGATTGTGTCAGCCAATTGGGCCAGATAAGGCAACTTTAGATAAATTTAGTCGTTTTTTGGGATCGTTAGCTCGTGATTCTAATCTTGCACCTTTAAATGAGGTTAATTGGACTCATGTTCGTGATAAGGATAAAATTTGGGAATATGTCAAGGTAATGTATATTGTATATATACATTTATATATATATATATATATATATAATATTATGAATTGTGCCCAATCAATAGTTCTTTACTACCTTTTTCGATTTAGTTAACATTCACCAATACTTCCACCGAATTTGTCTAGAACCATTTGATGTTATTTTTTATACCCACTAATTTATTCTTTTCTGTATTTATATATTCAGAAGAAGTTCATTATAGCGGAGGAAGGTAAGACTTATGTGTTGCAGTCCATTGGAGCTCTTTGGCGTACTTATAAATCTAGAGTTAAAAAGAAGTATTACTACAACTCTAGTTCCAGAGACGCAGACGGTGAGCTAAAAACGATTCCTGATTCTCATTTGAAGGATTTGCAAAAATATTGGGATCTGGAAGAGGTTCAGGTAAAATTTCTTCATCTTGCATTTTAGTCTCTATGGCATAACGTTCAGGTAGAAATTACAATCAAATTCATAAGGCCAACCAATGTTCCCAACCTTTCCTAATATATATTCAGAATATGTTAATATTTGTGTTAAGTGTCTGTACCTCTATCATTTGTCCGAACATCTAGAATTTGTTCCTTTTTCCCAGCTCTTTGTATATAGCAAAATTCATTTCTTATTCTTAATGAAATTTAATGTTAAAGAAAGTTGTACATGTAGATGAACTCTCAAAAGAAAAGAGAAGCCAGCCAGAGTCGAATAAGGAGACACACTATGGGTCCAATTGCCTTTGCAAGAAAACGTCATGAGTTAGTAAGTCTCCTTTCCATTTTTACTTAATATTCTGCATGTTATAAAAACACAAATAAGTGATGAAGATTCAAGATATGTATATATAGTTTCACACCAACACACAAATTATATATGTAGGTTTATCTATGTCTATCTGTTAAGATTTCACAACAAGTGCCGATTTAGTTACAATGTGCAAAAAATTCATTGTAATTGCTAAATAGTTTCTGTTGGGATTTTTTTTTTTTGTCTACTTCTTTTAACAGCAACAAGCTGATGGTAAGCCACCTTCACTTGCATTGATGTATAAAGAGACTCATAAAAGAGCACCAGGTAGAAAGTACACTACGCCTGCAGTAAATATCGTAAGTTGCATTTTATTATTGTGTCTGTTATAGAAATTTTGCTACGGTTTTTTGTTTCCTTTAAGTTTCAGTAAAATTAAATTAAATGCAGGAACTTCCAGAATCTAAAGATAATGGACTTCTCGGTAGGTGTAGCAAGAGGGTAAAGAGGCCTTGCAAGTCTGATGTTCTCATTCCTGATGAATTTTTAAAGCCTTTTAAAGATGAGATAGTGAAAGATACTTTAGCGGGAGTTCTAAAAATTTTTGAACGTCTTCCTATCGAAATTCTGAACCCTATCAACTCATCACTTGAGAATTCATTGAATGTTCAAGAATTGGCGAAACGTCTTGAGGAGCAATCATCTGGAGGCATCAACGGTGTTGAACTTTCTCAGGTACTTATAACATGCATTTTATTTTTTGCTAGTACATAAACGAACTTCCACATGTTATTTCAATTACCTTACGCCTGGAGGGAAAACCAATCCGCTGTTGATCTAATATTGGTCATTTTATAGCTTCATTTTATCTTTTATGCTCTCTACTGATGTTTTACTCTTTTTGACCATGATTGTTGATATAAACATTAATGTGATGCTTTCGTAGTTTTTTACCCCTAATTTCTTGACTTAGACCTAAATGGGTTGTTTTTGTATCGTTTCCTCTATGATTTACCGTTTTAAGCTTAAATTTCAAGGTGTTGAGCATATTATATGTTGTTTACTATCTAAATGTGCTGCTATTCTTTGGGTTTTCCCTGGGAAGAGTGTTCTGGTTTGGTGCTTTTCGGTGATAAATGTGATGGTCTCTTTTCATTTTTCTTTCTTTTTTATTTCAAGTATTTATTAGTTGAATATGCTTATTGTAAGTTGCTTATAGTGGTGTCATATAACATTATTTTAGGATGATGGAAATGAAGATGTGGATGATAAAGCGGATGGTGATGACGATGATGACGACCACCATGATCATCATATTGAGAAGTGACATAACTTGAGAGAGAAGGGGACAAGCATGAAACTAAGTACTCTTTGAAGTTGTAGGTTCTTGTAGCATTTGTCGTTTGTCCTTTGTATAAAAGATTTTATCAGTTCCTTGCTCATGTCCGTGTCTTCAATCTACACTGTTTTTATTGCTGCAAAAACTATTTCAACTTCCTTTTATGATATTGTTTGTTTTACTTATATTTCATTTGGTATGTTTTGCTGAGTCTTTATGTTTTATTTATTTATTAACTTTGTAGAAATTATTGTAGTTGAATGTAAATGATAAACCAAGCATAGGATATATATATATATATATATATATGTGTGTGTGTGTGTGTGTGTGTGTGTGTGTGTGTGTTACATAATCATTTGAAAAATATACATTAGATTGATTAAGTGATATAATTGAATGATAAAATGCTACAAAAAATTAATAAGTCTTATTAAAAATTGATACGCATTGTGAGTAGAGTGTTACATGAGAATTAAAAATGCAACATTTACATTTAGTGTTACATTATAAAAAGCTACAATAGATTGATTAAAGTGATACAATGAATTTATATAATGCTACCATAAATACATAGTGCTACAAGAAAATTGATACATGTTATGTATGGAGTGTTACTTAAGAGTTATATGTATCATCTAGAAAGTGATACTAATTAGTGCTACAATAAATAATATATTGTAACATTTATAATAACTGTTACTTAATTTTATAAAAATGTTACATAAAACAATAGGTAACAAGGGCAATTGCAACAATTAAAATATGTTACCTATGATCTATAGTAGCACATTTTTAAAATTAAGTAATACTTTATTGGAGTTGCTTAAAGTCACTTATTTTGTAGTGTAATGAATTATCAAAGATAAAAAAAAATATAAAATAAAATAATGAACCCATTTTTTTTAGGTTGAAATGAATATAGTAACTGCCTTTTAGGCATTAATGTAGTCAAATATGATCTTAAACAACGTAAATCAAGGGATTGAGGTTGTAATGTATATGGTAACTCTTTTTAGGCATCTATTAATATATAATAAGGATTAACTTAATTCACTTTTAGTAATACTTTCCTGCCAAATTCATTAATTATTGTCTAAAATTAGTAACTTAACAAACTTTCATTAATTACATATTGTAATATGGAATAGATAGTTTTTTCCTATTAGAATCTCTATAAATATGGAATAGATGTTTTTTCCGATTAGAATCTCTATAAATATTAACTTAACAAACTTTCTATTATATATAATAGATGTCTTTTCCGATTAGAATCTTTGCAATATGGAATTTAGAATCTATTCCTTAAAAAATTAATTAAATCTATACTTATATAAAAAGCTATCTTATTTACTAGAATTAGTAATAAGAAAAGTCAAAGGTAATTAATGCATTCTATTTCTATTCAGTATTTTATTTAATTACTTATTTAATTGTTTTATCCCATAACACATTTCCAATAAACATACCATGATTTTTCTATTGTGATTAAAAATAAGATTTTACGTCTAAAATCTTGTGAAATTATAAATATTATTTTTATAAAGCACATATTATTTGTTAAAAAATTGTGTATATATATACATTATACACATCACAGTACCATGATAGATGATTGAACATGATTTAAATTTCAATCGAACAAAATGCCAATGATTTAAATTTGAACACACCTATGTGTTTGACCAAATGTCTGGATGATTTAAAATTGAGCCCATCAAAAACTATTTAAATTTGAACACACTATAAATTTTATGTACTTTTTTATTTATAAATATATTGAAAGTGGTATTTAATGGTTGTTATATAAACTATTTTAATATATTTGTAATGAATAAAAGTTTGAATGAATAATTTATAATGTTATTCATTATGTTTGCGACTTATGATACACGAATACATAACCACATACATATTTGTCAGAAGGCGGCTTAATAATTTTCATGTTCAAAACTGTAATGAATTAACAAATCGTGGTAAAAAAAATTCATGAAAATATTTCATACACTGATAAAATGTAACAAACTGATAAAGAATAAAAAATAATATGAAAAACTTTTATGTTTGTTTAGATTAACAATATTGATCCAATAAGTTCATCTTTCCTGTTTGGTCAAAATAATAATTAAACTTCATAAATCAATAAGCAAAATGTTAGGTCAAATCAATAATCAAACTTCATAACTCATTAGCATTTGAAAATCAGTCTTAATTGAATGTAGAGTATGTTGTAAAATTTAACGTAGAGTATGTTGTAAATCAATTCACACGGTTAAATTTGTGATAATTAAAAGTAACAAACTAAAAAATATCAAAAAGTTTAGATGACATGTGACATGCATCTCGCTCCGA